AAAAAAAAAAAAGAATTAAAATGAAGAAGGGGAGGGCTTTAAAACAATATGATTAGATGTAAGTATCTCTGCCTGGGGCAGATGATGTAGTATAAATAAAGGCAAATTCTTTAACTTCTAGATTGAGTTCCATAACTTCATCAAGAAGAATGATCTTCATGAAAAAGAAAACAACCTTAGTTAAAAGAGACTAAAAGTCCAAGATGGAGAAGAAGATGGGAAAGTCCCAGCCATCAGGACCCCAGGGCCTCAGGGAACTCAGAAACAGGCTCAGGAAATCTCTCAGGTGATGTCTGAGAAATCAAAGAGAACAGGAAAAAGGCCAGAATATTAAAGACTGGCAAACAGCATCCTGTTCCGTTAACCACAAGAGTGGACAGCCTGCAAGCAACCTCTGCAAGGGACTAAACCACATCCTAACCTGAGGAGATCTCACAGCACACAGGGAAGGAAGCACCGAGAGAAGGCAAACAACTCAGCAGAAAAATGGGCAGAGGAAAGGTAGAGGCAGTTCAGTGGAGGGGAAATACAAGTAGCCAAAAAACAGAAAAGATCCCCAGCATCGTGGAGACATACACTGAAATACTATTTAACTACACAGCAGCTCAGCAAAATATTTTAAATCTTGATAATATCAACTACTGGCAAAGATGTGGGTAGTGGACTATACAGCTTCCTTTAAACTGCATCTTGGTGTATCAATTAAAATTAAAAATACATTGTATTTTGACCCAGCAATTTGAAAGACTCACACATGCAGACGCTTGTAGAAGGTTTTTCATTGCAGGCCTATTTATAATAGTAAAAGATGAGAAAAAATAAACCATTAAGGTTTGGAGCATTATGGTCTTATAAAACACCATATACAACAGTCCAAAGTAAAGCTGATCCACATACACTGATAAAGATTTTCAAGATGTTATCATTCGTGCTTTAAAAAAACACAAAAGAAACACATATTTCTTTAAGTGCACATATGTATATAAATGAATTTAAGTGAAGTTAAAAAGGATGCCCATTAACTTGATAACAGAGATTACCCTAGGAAGGTGATTAAGGATATTTTGTCTTTACTCTTTGCATTTTTTTTAATAAAAATTTCATTTATTGTATTTTATTTAAAAGGTGTGTATATACATACATATATGTATATGTATATACATACATACATACATACATGTTTTTTTTAAGGATGAAAAACAAAAACTAAGAAACAGCATTAGGAACCAGCATGTGCACTAGGAATAAGACGTAGCAAAGAAACACCAATGTTGGGGCACCTGAGTGGCTCAGTTGGTTAAGCATCTGACTCCTGGTTTCGGCTCAGGTCATGATCTCACAGTTCTTGAGTTCAAGCCCCGCACTGGGCTTCATGCTGACAGTGCAGAGCCTACTTAGGATTCTGTGTCTCCCTTCCTCTCTGCCCCTCCCCTACTCGCTCTGTCTCTCTCTCAAAATAAATAAATAAAACTTAAGGAAAAAAAAACTGGAAAAAACTAAAAAGAAATACCGATGTCACTCTAAACAGAGTGCCCACAGGCTAATGGCAGATGCTTTCACATCATCATCATGGACACAATAGACAAATGCAGGCTGCATGACAATCCTAGGAGGTAGAGTCAGATTTGACTGAACACCTGCAGTTACTGATTCAGGGTCTATGTGGGAACTTCCAGCATAGTCATTCTTCCTGTCCTATCTAACACATTCATTCATTCTTTCACTTGCTTATTCACTCAACAGACATTTAACGGCTTACTCTGTGTCAAGTGTGCAGAAGATACAAAGACAATCCCTCCCTGAAGTCTAGGATACTGAGAAGTATACAGAAGGTGGGGAAAAACCAAAACAAAACAGCGTGGAAAATGCTTGACTGAGGTATTATGGAAGCTTCAAGAGTAGGGCCAGAGGCGCCTGGGTGGCTTAGTCGGTTGGGCGGCTGACTTCGGCTCAGGTCATGATCTGACTCGATGGTCCATGAAGTTCGAGCCCAGCCGTCAGGCTCGTGCTGACAGCTCGACCCTGGTGCCTGTTCCGAATTCTGTCTCTCCCCTCTGCCTCCCCATTCATGCTCTGTCTATCTCAAAAATAAATAAACGTTAAAAAAAAAAATTTGGGAAAGCTGCCTGGGTGGCAAGCTTGATGTGAGTTAAGCGCTGTCCGACTTCCAGCTAGATGATCTTCGCGGTCTCGTGAGTTGGCCGAGCTCAGGCTCTGGTGATGGTCAGTGTTATACCAGTCTGGAAGACCTGTTCGATTCTGTGTCTCCTCTCTCTCTCTGCCCCTCCCCCGTTCATCTCTGTCTCTCTGTCCAAAATAAGTAGCGTTGAAAAAAAAAAAAAAAAAAGAGTAGGGCCAGACCCCAGGCTGGCCCCTTGAAGGAGGTCACACTACACCCTCTGTTTGCTTCAAGAAAGACGACATGAAGCTAGGAAGTACCACTAATACCAAAAGTCACATACACGTGAGTTGGAAAAGGTTGACAAGCTATAACACACCATGTGAAATCCATTTACAGTCACTGAAAAAATCCCACCTTTAGGTTGCCGGAGAATAACCTTTTGTTTTGAGGCCTCACTGAAAGACCATACTCAAAGAGGCCTCTGAACACAGCAACGTGTTCAGATAGTGGAAAATGGGGGGCACATGAGTGGCTCAGTTGGCTAAGCATCCAACTTCAGCTGAAATCTTGCAGTTTGTGAGTTTGAGCCCCACATTGGGATCTGTGCTGTCAGCATGGAGCCCATTTCAGACCCTTTCATTCTCTCTCTCTGCCCTTCCACTGCTCATATTCTTTCTCAAAAATAAACAAACATTAAAAAAGAAAAAAAGAAAAAAAATGGGCCCATGTCAGATGAGGACTTGCTAAAGGCACATCCTGACTTTTCTAGGGTTACCTTATTTCTCTGAGCCCCTGACTCCACTCATAGTCCTCCTGTGCTTTCTCTCAGGGAATCACCCACAGCCAAAAGACTCAGGAATTTCAAGATCCCTGATTGTACCCTTGGTTTGTCCACTTGAGGAAAGGGGTGACTGGACAATAGCTTCCCAGCTAGCCTCAGCAACATGGTGGTCACTCTTTGGCACATTTTCAGTTTGTAAGGTCTTTCTTGTCTGTCTCTCCCTTTCCCAATCTGGTGCCTCAAGGCTGTCCATCTCACCACACATCAGAGAAGGAAAAATGAGAAATACACACACACCAGGTTCCAAGGCTCCATATCCCAAGCAGTCACTTCCCGCCCCCAGGCCTTGGCATTTCTCTGCTCAACAAAGAGAGGTCCAGATAACTTCTGCGAGACCTTACCATGTATGCATTATCTTTCCAACAGAATTCATTGTTAAATAGGACTTCAAAGAAAGGGCAGGGCTTAATACAAGTGAATGAATAGTGGAATTTGGGGCACCTAAGAGTTCTTATCTGGATCCCCATCCTAGTGTGAGAAGTGCTCTGACAGGGACCCTCCACTGGGACTGACCTCTTTAGTGATGATCGAGACAGCACCTGTGCAGCCTGGTTCATGGCCCGGACCCAAGCGTTCATGTCCTCCTGGGTGTCGGCACTGAAGTAGTAGGTCCTCATGCCTGACTGCTCGGCCTGAGAACCCCCTGTGGAGCTATTATAGATGAGTGCTCGCATCCCCGTGTGCACAGCCTGTAAACATGAGGCAGAAACAAAGGTCAGAGAGGTCAGTGCACATTTCACTTCTGGGAGCAAAAACAAGAAGACACTCTGGCCATGTTCTTCCCTCTTCCATATTAAAAGCCCAAGTACCACCCAGCTTGTTCCCACACCTAGAAAACATCACAGCTGGATTCCCCTTTCCTGGTACAGTCAGACCCAGTGATAGCTGTGTCTAGTCCCCATGGTCAAAGCCAGGCAGCTGCACCTATTCCTACTTATCTTACTCCTGCTTAGGGAGGGCCACACAGTCAAGGCTTGTGTGAGAAAGAGCTTTTCAAAACCCTCATTCTGTAGAAGCAGACTCTCTGGAATCCTTGTCTTGGCTCTTCTGAAGCACGCAATTACTGGAATTGAGCCAAAAATTAGCAATAACAGCAAGTGGCTTGGTGCAGATATTCACTGTGCCTCACCACTCAGGCATGACATGTGATGAGTGCCCATCAACGCTGCTGCTCTTCTGGCTCTCCAGAGAGGCACTACAAAGTTTGACAGAGCTAACATTTGACTGAAAATCCTTGCATACCTACTATGTGCTAGGAAGCCTCAAAGTGCTTTCACATGTATCCTTGCAAAGAGTCCGTGAAGAGGTAATGGAAATGATCACTGAAAAGTAACCAGGATGGGTACAAACAAGAGGAAACACCAGTTTCTCCCCACTGTGTTCTGATAAGTAGGGGCCTGTCTTAAAGTTGTAATGAAAAACCTCATCAAATCTACATAGGAAGATGGTATAAAAAGGAAGACCAAAAAAAAAAAAAAAAAAATAGAGGAAGATCGGCAAATCTGATCAGTGCCTGTTATGTGTCTCCTGGTTACTTCCAGGACTTTAATCTCATTTTAATTCCAATAGCTCTGAGAGGTAGTGACAGAATTTGTATTTTATAAATGTGGCAGATGAAGGTCTGAGATGTTAAGTAACTTTCCCAGATCTCCATGCCCAGTAATGGATTCCTCAGAGTATTTAATATTACCTAGCATCATTTATTTTATACACTAGTTTGTTTATCATCTGTCTCTTCCCTCCAGAATATAAACTCCATTACAGCAAGGACTTTGTCACTACGGTATCCCCAGGAACAGTGCCTGGCACCTAGTAGATACTTAATAATTGTTTGTGGAATAAACGAAGAGTTGGAACCAGGATTTGTACATAAGTCTATCTGACTCCAAGCCCAAGCTTCTCTATATAATGCTCCTAGGTCCTGCCCAGATATTAGCATGATTACACAGATCACTGGTCCAAAAATGTGGATCCAGAAAGAAAGGCAGACCCCATGAAAGGATAAGCCAGAGAAAACAAAATGAAAGAACCAATTAGGAGCTGAAAAATGACATGCTTCTAGAACCACTAATGGTCACAGATGAAAACTCTCTGATAAACTGTCGACATTTGCTTCTGTGACCCACCCTAACATCTAGGTCCAAAATGCATATTAATTATGGATCTGCTACTAATATTGACATACTTGAATCTATCCAGCTAGTTCCAAGAGAGTACAGGCAAACTTAACCTGTAGGTAAGGGTCCCTACAGTGACCAAAGCAAACCTGATTTCCTTCCTTGCATGTTTAAGGGATTATCCACTGTCCCAGATTCCTCCTGTTTTAGCAGGTGGACATGTGGCAGTGAGAACAGAATGAGAAGGAACTTGTTGTGTCTGTCAATCAGCAGAAATTCTTGGAAAAGCTCCCCCATGCAATGACCCCACAAGATCTCTGATACCTCCTCCCAGACTTTCTGCCCAGTCACAGGTGGGACAGGCACCCACCCCACCAGACACAAGGCCACTCACAAGCATAGCTAGCCCTCAAGGGTATGATAGATAGAGCATGTTCCTGCTATACTAGTGTTTGTGGAGCCAGCCTTGTCTAGGAAATCAACACGGGACACCCTTCAAACAGGGGGACTTGGCGTGTGTGTTCACAAATGGACCTTGGGAGTTAGATCCAGCATTACAGAGGAGCTAACATGATCACAAACAACCTCAGTCACTAATCAAACTGCCAATATGTGCTGTATCCAGCTGCCCTTGGGTTTTTTTTTTTTTTAATTTTTTTTTTCAACGTTTATTTATTTTTGGGACAGAGAGAGACAGAGCATGAACGGGGGAGGGGCAGAGAGAGAGGGAGACACAGAATCAGAAACAGGCTCCAGGCTCTGAGCCATCAGCCCAGAGCCTGACGCAGGGCTCGAACTCACGGACCGCAAGATCGTGACCTGGCTGAAGTCGGAGGCTCAACCGACTGCGCCACCCAGGCGCCCCTGCTGCCCTTGGTTCTAACCAACAGGTTCTTAGCCACATTCTGCCTGTGATTGGGCATAAACGATGTATTTACTGCAAAAGTGAGAAGTGCAGGGAGTTGGCCATGTGACCCAAGTCCAAAGTGCCCTGAGCCAGAGGAAGATGCCAAAACCAAGATGATGAGAAGCCTCCTCACCCCTTCCTAGTCTTATCTCAAAGATGTTCCCTTCCCCTCTGCTCTTCACTTTCCAAACAACAGTCCTATTAGGCAACTTTGCATGACCGAATGGAAAACTTCAGGCTATAGCTAAAGGAAATAGAGATGTATACAAGGACGATTTTACCTCAAAAACTTAATCCCCCTGGGATAGGACTGTTCTCCTGGCCCTTAGGACCTTGGTCTTGATCCGGCACTAGAGATAAAAGCTAGAATGCTCACACTCCAAGCCCCCAGCATCAGCCTTTAGAACATAGAGGCCTAGGTGAGGAAATGTAGGAGCACTCCAAAGGCCAGGGCCCATCAACTGACTCATTCTCTAACTCATTCATTCAACAATAATTTATCATTGATTATTTATGTGAATGGTACTGTACCAGAAATTGAAGCAACAGCCTTAATCAACGTCAAGATAGTTTACAATCACATAAGAAGAGAAAGACTACGGACAAATAACTACAATTGTTATAAGCATCGTCAAGAAGTTCAGGATGCTATGAGAGAGGACATCAGGGGAACCTGGCCTGACCTGGAGAAGGAATTACCTATGGAAGTGACATTTAAGCTTCCTTCTACATAGAGGGCAGATATGTTAGTAAAAGTAGCACAGTGGGATGTGTGGGACCCCAAGACCGACAAGAGTATGATATATTCAAGGATGAGGCCGGCATGCCTGGCACAGAGAAAAGGAGAGAGCAGGATGAAATGAGGCCACTGGAGCTGGCAGGGCCAGGTGACGGGGGCCACGTAGTCACGTTAGGGTTTTGTCTCATTTTCTAGAACAAGGAGAAGCAATTAAAGAGTTCGAGCTGGGGAGTGGCAAGATCAGATTTTTGTCTGGAAAAACCACTCTGGCTGCAGTCTGAAGAGGTCAGAGTTGAGCTGGGGCAGATGAGGGGATAGGGGGCAGGACACCACTACAGAAGTATAGGTGAGAGATGGTGGTGGGGGCTGAGAAGGAGAGGAGCACCCAGTGTCTGGACAAAACTAGCAGGTAATATCGGCAGGACCTGGTGATGAACTGGACAGGAGAGCTGAGAACCGCAACTGTCAAGGATAAGACTGTCAGGTTTCTGACTTACGCAGACTGTGGTGCACATTTATTGACATTAAGAAGGAACTCCTGGTGCCCAACCTTTGGGCTATGAGCAACACAGTGAACTGGGTAAGAGCTCAGGCCCTGGAGTTAGCCTGATGTGCCTGGTGGGCCTGGCTTCTTACCCCAGAGCAACCTTGGGCAAGCTGCTCAATCTCTCCAGGCCTCCATTTCCTCATCTTTAAAATGAGTGGGTGATGATGGTACTTACCTTTTAAGGCTGTGTGAGCACTAAATGAGATAATGCACATATGGAACTTACAGCACAGCCTACCATTTTTAAGGCTCAAAAGATGTTAATTGATGTTATTATAGGACTAGTCACTTGAGTAATCTAAGGTGACTGACTGAATGAATTTTCTAGAAACTTTGAAAGACCCTTTTCTGCCCTCTCTAACTCTGCCCTCAGGTCAAGATCTCGCAGTTCACCAGTTGGAGCCCCGTGTCAGGCTCTGGGCTGACAGCTCAGACAAAGCCTGGAGCCTGCTTCGGATTCTGTGTCTCCCTCCCTCTCTGCCCCTCCCCTGCTCGCTCATTCATTCATTCATTCCCTCTCTCTCTCTCTCTCTCTCTCTCTCTCTCACAGAAATAAACATTTAAAAAAATTAGAATATAAAGCTCCACGAAGGCAAGGACTTTGTCCTTCTCATTGTTCTATCCCTAGCATCTATATCCTACCAGGTAGAACAGTGGAATTCAGTGAAAGTTGGGTGAATATAAATAAGTGAAAAACCACATCTTGGCTGGCCTTTAGCCAGAATCTAAAGCGGGGGTCTTAATCTTTTGGGGGGCATGAACCCTTTGGACAGTTTCATAAATCCTAAGAACCCTTCTCAGAATGTTTCTAAGTATTCAAGTAAAACAAATATGCTATACTGAAATACAGTTACCAAAATTTTCTTAAATGTGGTATAGTGATATAGGTGCTTTTTTAATAATTCATTATATAAGAAATGTAGTAATAATTATTGTCATTTCAAAGTGGCAATGAGCATAATGCTATTTCAAGATATTTACAACAGTTGTAATGTGATATGAAGATCTCTCTGGGTTACTAGGGTAACCAAGGCACAGATGCTATGGATACCTGTTGTTGCCTGCTTTCTTAATCAAAGAAAACATTGTAGGTTAAAAAAAAAAGATGTGATTTATCCATTGACCCTTGGGGGTCTGTAGAGCTCAGGTCAGGAAACCTTGGTCTTGAGGGAGGAAGAATGGCTCAAAGGGAGTAATAAAGGCTTTTCTCCCCATTGAAAATCCTTGGACCCTTGGCTGCACAGGGATGTTTTTTGCTCCAGATCCTGGATCCAAGGGGCAAGCCTGCTCAGAGGTGACCAGGAGGTGAAGGGTGGCTGTACATCCAATAGGAGCTGTTTGGGGAGGAGCCCCAGGTGAGCTAACAGAGCATAAAAGGCCTGTGTACATCTAGCACCAGCCTTCCTGGTAATGCACAGGGGCTGCCAGGCTGCAGGCACAGTCGAAAAAGAAAGACAAGGAAAGGTCCATATAACCTTTCTGGCGGTGCCTATCTACCATTACAGATACTCTCAACAATCTCAAGCAAGGTGCCCTAGCAACAGTCAGAGAATTTCAGATCTGGAAAGAACTCACATCAGAGACAGGTGTAAGGCCCAGAGCACAAAACACTATGCATTCTTCAGTATGCCCAGTAACATGGATGCTGTACTGCCCAAGGGGTCCACTTTCTGGCCCCTAAAAGAACAATGCTTCAACCCAAAGGAAAGGGAACTCTTTCACACGAAGGAAACCACAACCCTCTGTGGAGAACCAGCTGAAAACCACTAGACTTGTCTGCAGTAGCTTTTCTCTGCTCTCAGACCCTGAGGATCCCCACAACAGGGAAATCCCACCCCACCCCCGACCAAACACACGCATGCCTTCTATCTCTGAGACAAAAGATTTAGGGAACACTCTTGGTGAAGTCTTTCTAAGAAAAATTTTTTTTCAAAAAGAGAAGAATCTATGACACATTAAGGATGTTTTTCTAAATCTGTTTTCACACCTCCCAGTGAAGTGTTAAGATGAAATATATATAGTTACAATCAGTTACTTTGACCATATTTCAAAAGCTGTCCTAAAAAATTACATACATTATCCTGACTGTTGGCCTGGTAGCAAAAACACTGAACCCCAGAAAGGAAGGCTTTCTGAGGAAGACTTTTAGGCTGCAAAGGACCAGTCTGAAACCCACCGAACACAATGTTTTCAAAGCCAGTCATCAGCAGGAGAGGCTTCTGAACTATTAAAGAGAAGAGTATTCCTAAAATGACAACAATGAACATTAGTTCAAATCACCTTCCACCTCCTGCAATGTGTGTGCAGGAGGTGACCAAAATCAGACGTGGAAGAAAAGCAGAGAGAAAGAAAAAGAAATTGTCCTCCCTCCCTTTACAATGCTTCTGAAAGAGAATAGAGTTCATGTTCAAGTTCTGTCACCATCATCTCCCAGCTTTGTGACTTTGAGCAAGTTTCTTAAGCACTCTAATCCTCATGTTCCTAAGCTATAAAATGAAGCTAATAATACTGGCCTCACCCATTGGCTCTCCACAACATTAAATGAGCTTCAACCCACAGCAACTCTGGAGTCATCAGGGATAGTGACAGTCAAGGGAAAGAGAGGGACAGCTCAAACCTGGCAATGGGCAAAGCTGAAGCATCAGCCCGGAAAAGAAAGGTAAAAGATGAGACTGATTTTCCGACCACCACCCCCACAATGGACTCCCAGTCAAGACACTGATGCAGATTATCACCTTCCAGTGATACCATAGACACCATATACCAATGCTTTCTTTAACCCTTACAGGGAACAGTGGCTGTGTTATCATGTGCTTTTCCATGATCCTTCAACTATCTCTGGCTGGCAAACTTGACCTCTGTTCAACCTCTGCTTTAGTACCCACCATCTAGTACTCATCTTATACCTTCAACATGGGAATAGCTAAGCTACATGAGTAGTGGGGGCAGGAGCCGCTACCCCACTTGAAAGGCTCATCATTGCCCTGCATCCTGAGCAGTGTGAGAGGGCGTTCCCCGTGGCTACTAGCACCAAAGGCTGCTGCTTCAGTGCTGAGACTTCCACTTAGCTGTCAGTAAAGTATAACTTCAACACTCCCCCATCCTCACCATCCCTGGAGGACCCAAGAAACAGCATCAGTGAAGGAATGTGTGGAGGTCGCTAAAGGAGATGGCCTCAGGATTCCCCAAATTTGGGCCTGACCACCACCTTCCTGGAGCCTCCACACCTGGCTCTGAAGATGCTAGAGGGTGTAAAGGACTGCCATCAATTATCATGGCCGCACTCACTCCACATGGCATGGTGACAAAGTAGAAAGGGGGGTTCTACTGTTGAAGGGATTTCCCTTGGGATCCAGAGGGGTTTTTCCGGGATCCAGAAAATAAACCAAATTTGACTCTACTTGCTTTTCAACAAGATAAAGTGGACAAACTCAAAAACCCTTCAACATGAGCCACTGACCCTGAATATAGGTCTTCATAATATAATTGACGTAAGTCCATTATGAGGGACCATCACTTGCACTAAGTGGCTGGATACTAGTTAGACTGGCTGATTACAGTGATAAGAACACATGAGGAGGAACCCATATGCAATCACAGGACTAGTAGTGAGAGGAAAAGAGGGGTCTGAACACTTGAGCAAGGGTGGGGGACTCAGAAGCTCAGATACAAATGAAAGCACTTGTGATGCTATTCTTGTTTAAAGAATTTATAACTTTATTAACATGCACCTGAAGTGCTCTAGCTTCTTAACTTCTCCTTTCTCCCCACAGAAAACAACTGCTTTTATGAAGCCATTTTTGGGAACACAAAGTTTCTTAGAGTGGAATTGCTGCACTAGATGGGAAGGGGCAGTACCTTAAAGGAATACTTGCGACTTATACGGTCCTCAGGGGCCACAGGCGAGATCACATAGCTGGGCAGAGGGATGCTCCCAAGGACAGCTTCTTCTCGGCTGTCTTTGAATGGAAAAAAACACATCAGAATAACCTGCTGTGGCACCTTCCTTGGGTTGGTCCATTCCACTGCCCCAGTTCAGGACTCCAAATGTCTTCCCAGGACTACTGCAATTACTGACTGTCCAGTCAGGTGCCCCCTGGAGACCTTTGTGCTAATGCTGGAACGACACAGGTGAAACAGACAGAGGCAGAGGCAGGCATGTAAACGTGCTCAGCACCACCTGCTAACTCCTGAAATACAACAGTTTACAAAATGCTGTGGGAACACAGAGGCAGAAGTGGCACACAGTCTGGGGAAGTGGAGAAGGCTTCAGAAGGCAACATTTAAAGTGTTTTAAAGGATGGGGAAGGGCCTTCTGTGAGGAGCAAACCTCACAGGCAAAGTTAGAGCACGTGCAAAACATCCTACCTTCTACATCTATTTTCTTCCTCTTCTAAACCATCTTCATTATAGAGGTAACTTCCTAATGATAGAGTTGGTCCTGTCGCTCTCCTACTCAAAAGCACTTGCTGCCTGCTCACTGGATGCGAAATGAAACCCAACTTCCTCTGCCTGGTGTCACAGCCCTCTTGCATTTTGGTCCTTACTCACATCCTGAGCCTTCTTTCCTAGTATGTCCTGCATGCAAAATTCACTCGGGCCTCACAGGTCTGTCATTCCACCTTCTTCTGCTTCTAGAACTTTATTCAACTTGTCTCCTCTCCTTGAAATGTCCATCTCCCCCATACGCAAAAGCAAAGCTTTACCCATCTTTACAAGCCCAACTCAAATCCCATCTGTTCTAAAAACCCTCTTTAAATTCTCCAATATGGAATTTCTTGCTCCTCCTGAATTGCTTAAGCACACTGAATGCCTTCTAAAGCACCTAACACAGACTAGTCTGTCTTAAAAGTAAACTCTCTCTTCCTCCATGTTTCGAGCCTTACTTCTTTCTCACTATTGCACAGCCCCTAACTCTATGTGCTGGGGCTCCATAAATGTTCATGTGGTCAACTCAACTCACCAGCTGTCCATCCAATATAAATATAGTAGGGGATAGATCCAGACAGCAGGTTACAAAATACAATGATTTATCTGTACTTCCCACCTCTCCAGATTGTGTCAAAGGTATACCTATGTCCTCAAAAGGGTAGAAGCTAAGACAACTCCAGACTTGGAGACCCTAAGTAGCAGACAAACTGGATCCTATTTATTTTAACTCAACAAATGGCACTTCCAGTGCAGGGACTGGTATAAAATGAAGTGACCAACCACCCACATATGTAAAAGTGAACACCTGGGCAAGTAAATAGGTTCTAAATTTGCTCAGGCCACTGGTCCACTCACTGGATTTGAGAACATAACCACCTGTTATCACCTCACCACCCCCTCCAGCACAAAGAGCCCTTGGTGGCCTGAGCTGCAGCTCACCTTTATAGTAAAACAAGCAATAATCGGCAAGCACAAACCACCTCCTTTTCCACAGCCTCATCCCAGAACTGTCCTGCAAAGCAAAGAAAACTACTCAGACAATATGTGAGCACACTATTCCCCCTTCCCAATCATGCACGACATGATGCTGCAACCGAGACTTACCCATATCCACTCTTTCATCCAATAAATTAATGAATTAATGAATTTTTATTGCATGGCCATTTTTTTATAGGACATGAAAATTTAGATTCAATGATGGTTTATCCCAAGGAAGTTTTATGTATGTCCTGGAAACAGATTAATGTAAGTATCCTTCTTTTAGAAAGGAAGATATGGATTCAAAAATACAGTTCTTCCATGAAAGAAATAAGCTTTTGGGGAGCCTGGGTGGCTCAGTCCATTAAGCGTCTGACTTCAGCTCAGGTCACCATCTCAAGGTTCGTGGGTTCGAGTCCCCGTGCCAGGCTTTGTGCTGACAGCTCAGAGCCTAGAGCTGCTTCGGATTCTCTGTCTCCACTCTCTGCCCCTCTCCCACTCGCACTTTGTCTCTCTCTCTCTCAAAAGCAAATAAACATTAAAAATAATAATAATTAGGGGCGCCTGGGTGGCTCAGTCGGTTAAGCGTCCGACTTCGACTCAGGTCATGATCTCGCGGTCCGTGGGTTCGGGCCCCGAGTCGGGCTCTGTGCTGACAGCTCAGAGCCCGGAGCCTGTTTCAGATTCTGTGTCTCCCTCTCTCTCTGACCCTCCCCCGTTCATGCTCTGTCTCTCTCTGTCTCAAAAATAAATAAATGTTAAAAAAAATTTTTTTTAAATAATAATAATTAAAAAACAAAAGAAATCAGCTTTTAACAAAAAGGAAGCTATTTATTTACCTGGGTGCTATTCTGTAAAAATATTTATGCTGATGAGAAAATTTATTTACATAGTATGGAACAAAGGAATTTAAGTTAGCTAATTTATCATTGAGGCAAAGTTCTCATTTGATGGGAGTTCAATTCTCGATCATAAGGGGCTGATTTTGTCATGGATTTGCCTTCCACTCAGTGTAAAAAGACTTGGATTATCTTGCTATCTAATCGTCTCATACTGTGAATCTATTTTTACTCATCTAAAATCTAAATCAAGGGGCGCCTGGGTGGCTCAGTTGGTTAAGCATCTGACTCTTGGTTTCGGCTCAGGTCATGATCTCACAGTTCATGGGTTTGAGCCCTGTATCAGGATCTGCACTGATAGCACAGAGATTCTCTTGGGATTTTGTCTCCCTCTCTGCCCCACCCCTACTCATACACATTCTCATGCCCTCTCTCTCTCTCAAAATAAACTTTAAAATAAAATAAAATAAAAATACATTTATTAAAAATATTTTAGGTGATTGTGAAAATTCTAAGAAAACTAGGCCAGAGCAGGAAAATAGTAGTGTTGCAAGGTCCGTTTTCTCCCAAATCTAGGAAAATTCCAGAACTTGCTTTTAGCTGTTAAAACTGTTTTCCTTCTGCAAAAGTTTTCAACAAGTTTAAATTTAAAAAAAATAACAAAGTTATTACAGTTTCTAAACCTAAGCACAAGATGAAGTTTGTTCATTCTCTACTTACTAAAGTGCTAAAAACAAATTTAACTTGCTGAATTCATACATTTCTTGGTTATATCTTCTGCACTAACCACATTATCTCTAAGATCTTGCTTTATTTGGAAAACTCCTCTCCATCCTTCCACACCTAGTGCAAATGTCACCTCCTCTGGGAAGCCTTTCAGGACTCCCCCCAAAGAGAGCTACATTCTCTGTGCTGTGTGTCCATAGTACTCCACACAGGTCGCTGTTAGAGTTCCAGCACAGCCACAGTGGGGGCTGGGGAGAAGAATTACTTATAGCCCTTTCCCTCTCCCTCCACATTTCAAAGGAGCATGCTTTTGTTTAATGGGGATGAGGATGCAGATGGGAAAGCCAGGTTACTCAGGTAAAAGAGATGGGCAGAGAGGCAAGGAAAGAGACACAGCCATGAGGGAAAAGGGTACCATTGAGAGAGGTGTCAGCACAGTGTCTGACAGAGGAGGCTGGAGAGCTATGGGAGTTACCAAGGGGAGACTGAGAGAGATAGATTTCAAGGGGACTTTTAGGGATTTCTTCTGTGTGGCGTGCAACATAATGCCCTCCTCTGTCTTCTTGTAGAGCCTTTAGTAAAAATCCACATCATTGCCCTTGGTGTTTGATGTGTGTTTTTCGGATGGTATGATACGTGAGAGACTGAGGGCAATAATAGGACAGGTGAGAGATGTGTCTGTTTGGGGGTGAGGGGGCAATGAGCTGGATTTGGCTGATTTGGAATCTGAGGGGCTAGGGGAGCTAGATATGTGTGCTAGACTAGGGGAGAGGAAAAGATGGGGTTTTTCAGCCAAATGATAACAAAGGCAAGTGCCGGCAGGGGATTGGCAGGAAGGCTAGATTTGTGTGACCCACCCACACTAGTGCTTGGGTCCCAGGGCAGCCAGTAGCACTGGGGGCCCATGTGGTCAAGTGGGTTTGGGGAGGCAAGGTGTAACCACTGAGCAGACAAACCTGCCTCAGATGAACTCAGGAAGAGAGAGCTTATTAGGAGTCTATTTGCAGCTCCCAGTGGCCAGAATAAGGAAGACAATCAGCAAGAGTCATTCCCCTCCCTCACTCTCCCTTCCCAGTCCCCTCACCTGCTTGTGCAGCCACCCCCTCACCACCACCGGAACATTGGGGTTCCTCCGGATGGCCTGGTCCCTCTTCCCAAAGCTGTGGACTTTATTGCTGGACTTCATGATCTAGGAAAAAGCAGACTTGAATTCTAGCAGCAGGGGAAATTATGGAGTCACAAAAAGCACCTGCATGATAAGAGAGCTGCAGGCTCCTCTGCCTTACTCCAAGCAGCAGCACCTTGATCGAAAGAGACTGGAATAGGTGGGCACATGGCCACAGCATTTCAATTAAAAGGCAAATCCAAGACCTAGCAAGCTTCCCATCTGGCTCACAGAGAAAAAAAACATTTAAAGGGATTTTTCAATCAACTTTCACCAGCAGCTATTGGTCCTAATATGTCCTAGTCTTTCTGGAGCAAAGCTACTTTTCAGTCACAAATTTTGCCAATTTCCAGACATCTACCCCTTCCTATCTGGGTTCAGTCCTTAGCACTCACCCCTTCTCTGCAATGCCGGTTCTCGTCCCTGTTCCTCAATGCTCCCACATCTCACCTTTCCTCAGGACCACCTGTCACAAATCTCACCAGGCAGTCTCTAACACACCTGTGAACAGAGGCACGGCCCTCCCAAGACAAGCCAGAAAAATGAAGAATGCACACGGGGACCTAGGTGTCAATCCTGGTTCTGCCAGCAATCACCTGTTTTCTTGGACAAGTGACATAACCCCAACTGGTTTCCATTTCCTGATCTGTCATTTGGGGAGGATACTTCTTACAAGCCTCCTTCACAAAATAATAGTGACAGTCAGTGGGCATCTGCAAAATAGTAAAGGGTGAAAGGAAGGAATGAGTGGCCAGGAGCTCACCTTGGGGCCAGGTTTGGCCTCCACGGTCGACGTGGTTCCAGCTGTGGATGTTTCACTGACCATGCTGGACGGTCTTTGGTTTCTCTCTTGCTTCGACATATGTGGGTGTGGCCTGTGGGAAAACACAGGAAAGTCCAGTAAGTACCAGGCTGCACTGAAAGTGGAATCTGAGATTTATCACAGACAAGAACCGGTTGATATGCCTCAGACAACCCACGACTGATCTTTTGGAGACCACCTGAGTCAAGACTGCATCCAGAAGACCACAATGTCCATGTGCTTCAGGGAGTCTAGAGGATAACAGATGGTCCACCTCCATGGCCTGACAACCCACCAAGGGGCCAAGGCCATCATTCCTGCCTGCTGTCCTAAGGTCCCCACATTTACGCTCTTACTCAGGTTATCTGTGGCAACTGCCCCATCAGATGGGCACCAACAGTTGTACCACTTTTTACACAAACAACCCATACTCCTTACATACACACGCACACACACCCCTCCATTTCCCTGGCTCCCAAAAGAAGCTGTTTATAATTAGTAACAAGAAATCACTTGCGCACACATCCACACCCCTAGATACATACAGAAAATCACTTACATAAACGCCAGTGGGGCTTGCCTCCCAAAATAGATCACTCAACAAAGAGTCCTATTCTAGGAACACTCTTTTACCCCAAAATAGAACCATCAGAGATATTAACCCCTTGTGCCATGCCTGGAAACAGGAAGCAATGAGACATGCCTGGGTCCCCAATGAAGATCCCCCTCAGTGCATCCCCAACAGCACCGAGTGACACCATGCTTCCCATCGAGAAGCTCCACCTGCCCTGGGAGAGCCAGATCTCTGGGAACATCTCCATATGACATTCAAGAGACACTACAGAGAACCCTTCTCACCTGCCTCCACAGATCCCCAGCATTTGCCAGAGTCTTTCAAAGCCCGGGTAGCAGCAAATGCCTGCAACAAATTCAATGCCTATCCTCAAACAGCTTGATGCCTGCTTCCCAAACTCTAACTCCAGGATCAGCAAGCCGTCCTCAAAGCGTACGTCTCATTGTTCTGTGGCTGGGTTCTCTACAGGCAACAGGACCCAGGCAGCTGCAGTAAACTGAGGCTCTCTTCCCTGAGGAGCGGAGACAATCTGACTTGAAGGCCGGGGCTAGGAGCCTGAGAGGAAGGAGGATCCAGACAGGACGCAGTGAGGAAGCAGCCCTCTGGGTGTCCGTTCACCAGGCTCACTTTTACACAGGTGCCACCAGGGAAAGTCCTAGTTTCCACCTTGGAGATGTGCTGCCTCTTTCAAAACCATTACTGCTCGAAGGATAAGTGATCCTTCCTGCGCCCCAAGACAGAGCCCCGAAACCCTGCACCTCTACTTCTTCACAGAAGTAGCCGTAACCACCGTGCTCTCCACACTGTGCCAGCGGCAGGACCACTGCAGTGGGACTGGCTTTCCAAAGGGCTGAGCTCTGCCGGATGCTTGGCAGCTCGGGGTGCAAGTCCCACCAGGCAGAAAGATCACTGGCTCCTTATCCGCTCAGGCACTCACCCCAGATTCCCCGCCCCCGGCCTCCATCTCAGCCAGACTTTTGTTACTGCTCCCCACTCAGAGAATGTCGCCGCACTCAGCTCACTGCTGGCAGAGGCTGCATGCAGCAAAAAGATAATCACCAACCGGGGGTGAGAAGGGCCTTGAGACGCTGCCTTGTCCAGTCCCTGCCTCCAGGCAGAACTATGCCCAAAACGTCGGCCTGGAACCTAGTCTTGCCTGACTTTCAGATGTCCAGAGGTTGAGACAAAGATGACTTCTCAGGTTGCATCAGTTATGGCAGTTGTATCTTGGAGCCAGAATTCAGGACACAAAGTCCGACAATATTTGTTTGAGATTTTATCAAGTTTAATTTGCTCCCACTTAAAATACTGATAGAGGATTATTATAGAATATTTGGGAAATATAAGAAAAAAAGCTAAACAAAAAGAAAAAAAAATTACCATAGTCTGGCTACCCAAAGGAAAACCATTTTTAACCCTTGGTATATATACTTCCATTGTTTTTTATACGTCTGGGTTTTGGGGGGTAGGGGAGAGAAGAGTGTTTTTTTCTTTTTATATAACTGTGATCACACTGTGTTTATGATTTCGCATTTTGATTTTTAAAACATAATGTAAACATTTTCTCCATTGTTTTAAAAACATCCACATCATTTTATTTTTTATTTTTATTTCTTTTTAAATAAACTCTATGCCCAACATAAGGCTTGAACTCACAACCCCGAGATCAAGAGTTATATGCTCCTCCTCTGTGAGACAAAGGAAAAGACTATCTGGATGTGTGACTGGTCCAGAAAATCCAGGATGGACAGCCATTTGCACAACTTCTGTACAATCTTGAGCTCTGACTCTAATCACCTCCTGCTTTCTAGTCTCATGTCCCCAATCCCATTCGGGGAAGCTGGCTGGCCAGGAAGCTCCTCCAGACAACACTGCTGTCCTACAGACTTGGGTGGATGAGGAAAGGGTTACAATCACCACCTAGGAAGCCAATTATGAACAGATTTCAGCTGGAGAAGGACTGGCTGTGGTCCCAACACTGAACATTAGTGAGGGACAGTGGACCA